ATGTGTGCCAAGTTTGGTCCCGATCGGTTCAGAAATAAAAATTTCTATTCCGCACATACGTACATACATACAGACAGACATTCAGCTTTATATAAAAGATGCAATAGGTCTCTGTTTCAGTAATGGCATTGATTTGGCGGTAGTCAACGGTAAATCGCCATTGATCTTTATTAGATCCTTTCTTTACAAGAACTATTGGCGAAGCAAATTTGCTAGTGCTTGGTTCGATAATGCGAGTGCGCAACATTTCTTCAATCTGACGTTTTATTTCGTTGCGCTTTTCCAACGGGACACGATAGGGTCTCTGTTTTGGAGTTTTAGCATGTAGAACGAAATTTATGCGATGTGTTATAGGACCTCTATATAATCCTAAATCGCCATCTTGGGTGACAAAACAAGAGCGAAAGTTTTTCAAAAGTTGGAAAAACTGCAATTGTTCTTGTTCAGAAAGTATAGATTTGTCAAAATGAACTAGTTCTTCAATGTTACGTACTTTTTCAGATGGAAAAGACGGCATTGTTTGACTGATATCTACTTCTGGTGGTACATATTCTTCAAGTTGAAGCAGTGTTAATATGCTTTCTGATTGATGAGTTGGATCTACCGAAAAAATAGGCGGCCAAGTCATGTCTTTGCCGACATAGTTAGCTTTTGCGATAGTTTTGTTATTATGAAGTACTATGAAGGACGGGTTGGTATTGAAAATGCGCAATAAAACTTGACTATTGTTGTCGGTACACGATAATGTTTTGCCTATCGCAATTCCAAATGGTAACGTTAGGGATAAATCATCGCAAACAAGAAATTCCCATTTGCTTGGAAAAGTTCTATGCAATGTTCCCATAACAACATTATCAGACATTGGTGGTAGAGTAACGTTTTCGGTTAGAAATACTGGTGTTTTATAACTGGTTGATTCCGGATTGTCTGGAATAATAATTTGTACCCTAGTATTATCGAAAGAGACTGTCTTTTCAAAATAGTCTATAGATACTTTGTTACCCAGTTTGGTAATAGAATCATTACCCAATAAAAAATCTGTGGAGCAGTTTTTGTCCGAAACAACAAAACTAATGATGCTTACTACTTTATTGGCTACGGTAAGTTTAGTCGAAACTTGTCCAATGAAGTGAATTGGAGTACCATTGGCAGTTATGCCTTCTGGTAGAGTAGTTTCAGTAATAATTAAGTTCGAAAGTTTTGCCATTCGCTCAGATAAAAGTGTAATGGCTGATCCTGTGTCAAAAAGTGCTACAGTGGATAAATGATTTAGCGTAATTGGAATAAATATAGTAGACATTGAGTCGAGTTGGATGGATGATACTCTTGGTTTGAACCTAGGTATTTCAAGATTCAGTGGTTTGGCAACTGTTTGGGGAGGCACTTTTGGTGCTTGATTTGCTACTCGTACTTCTTCTAAAGAAGGATAAAGATTTCCTGTTTCTACTGTTGCTGTACTAACGGTATTTTGGATAAGTGGGTTACGTCGAAATGCAAGAAGTATAATTCGTGGAGTTGAAGATTCGGGTGCCGAAGGTTGTGGCTTCTTTTGGCAACATGAAAGGAAAGAGAATGGTATTGTTATAATTGCGAACGTTGCTTTGACAGTTGCACGAGCGATATTAAAATGGCAATACAAAACAATTAGGGCAACTAGTATAACCAAAATGATGGTTACAATGACTATAATTCTTACGAGATTGTGTAAACCTAGAGAATGTATGACTCTGCTTTTCTCCATTTGGAGAATATCAGACGCTTGTGACTCTATATACGAAATAGTTTTTACGGTATCTTGCTCAAAATTCACGAAATCGCTAGATTCAGCGGAAGGATGCTCTTTACTGATAGAAGAAACATTAGCGTTAGCAAGTCTGTTCTTCATAAATCGTAAATCAGTGGTAATTCGGGCTAGATCTGAGTGGAATATGAGTGGCGCTTTGAAAACGAAGTTTTGCGTTGCAAAATTTTGTGGAAGATTTACAGGAACTTGAGATACATGCGCATATCCTGTTGGAGGTTTATAGTGATTTGTTCCATCATTATAGATGCCAAAAGGAAGATGTCCACAATTTGCTTCGGGACTGGAAGTAGATAGGTCTCTGGTTCCTGGTTTAGCGAAATAAATGGATTTCCCGATACGAACCGGGGTATGGAGGTAACAGATGCCATTGACATTATGATTAGAATAGACTTCGTCAACGACGACTTGTTTACACTTCGAAATCATAAGAACATCTCCAGCAGGTATGGCATATATATCATTTCTGTTTAGCAAAATACGAGCTGCACTGGTGGGGTTTATCTTAGCAATGTTTCGTATTGCTTGAATTTTGAAATTTGTTAGAGCACAAATGCGGTCGAAAAGAGTCTTGTAGTCGTGTGTGATAGTTTCTTCCAATTTTGTTTTGAGAAATTGCGTTCATTTTTGTGTTCAATTCGTAATGGCGTTGATCTTGTCGTTGCTCGTGAGAGAGAGAAAGATTATTGATGAGCGTACTAAAATCAGGCTCAGTGTTAATGGCGGTGAGTTTGGTAACTTTGGGTGCGCCAATAAACCCCATGAATTTGGCCAAAGTGTAAACGGTTGCAAGGCTTCTTTTCGATCTTACGGAGTCTTCAAGGGATGGTGTGGAAGTTATGAGATTATTTTTACTTTGATACGTGGCATTGAATAAATGATGCATTTTTGACGCGTCAATGTGTTTTTTGTTGATATCTTTGATCATTTCTGGAAATTCAGTGAACATGGTACGCGGATTATAGTTTAGTATTTCTGGAAGTGTGATAAAAACACCATTATCCATTGGTATGGAACTGTTGGGCAAACACCAACTTGAAATTTGAGTAGACGTTAGCGTTATATTACTGTATGTGAAAGCTGATTGTATATTATCAACAACTATATGAGTTGGAGTAACATAAGCAATTCCTCGCGTAGCTTTTACAAACTTACAAATAAAAGGATCTTGTTCTCCGAAATTCCAGATTACTGTGCCATGTGACATCTTACAGTGTTTATCTTCAATGCGACATTGAGCCATATCACCAAATTGACCGATGATGGTCTTGCCGTCAAAAGTAGCAATATCAGCTTGTTCTATATACACGTTAGTCGTAAGCGTACATTTTTCACCAAAAAACCAAGGATATGAATAATGTATGGCGTTTTCCGAGCCATAAACATTTGGTGATAACTTTTGCATAGGTACTCCTAGAAATTTCTTTATTTTGCTAAGCGATTCACATAGTGCAAAATCTACAGGAGACATGTACTCGTCATCACTGTTTACGGAAAAAGATATGTGAAGATAAGACGAAGCACATATTTTCCTAGTCTTATTAAAGCAATGAAACGCGGGTAGAAGGTAAGGTTCGGTGCGTTCCACGTAGATTTGCGCTGTTGTTACCAAAATGTTTGTAGAATTTGGAGAGTGTGAACACGATGTTGTTTCTGGATAAGCGACAGGCCAACCAGATTTTCCCGCAGAACAAAGTTGATAAGTTTTTAATGAAAGTGCAGAAGCATTAGGTAAAAAGAGGGAAAATAGTGCTACACAAAAAGTGAGTATGGACTATTAAGTAGTCCAGTGGAAAGGTTTGTTGAGACTGAATTAACCGGCCTCTGGCGTTGATTACGGTTTGGGTTACGATTATTTCGTCTATTATTTGAAAAATGAGGTGATTGTTCTCTTTGCCTGTTATTGGAAAAATTTGGAGGTGTTCTAGATCTCGACTGTTGGCGACGATATGGTGATTGTTGGCGGTGATTTGGTGATTGTCTATGCTGATACGGCGATCTACTGCGAGCTCTATCAGAACGGTCTGATGGAAGTGGCGCGAATCTAACATTGCGTCTTTGCGGATATGGAGAACTTTCAAAAAATGAATTTGGTGAGCGAGCACGCGCATAACTGCTAGAAGTCGATGTGTAAGGATTTTGCGAGTATGGGTGGTTATTCCATCGTTTTCCGTGGTATGGTTTATGAACCATGTTAACAGATGTTCTGGGTACTTCAATATTATCTAATATTCTATCCATTTTGGCTAGAATAGTATCATTCGCAAAAGATGAAGTATCCGACTGAATCAAACCGTGAATACGTTCTGATTCTTCAATAAGTTTTTGATGGTCAGTTGGAAGTGGACCTAGCAATTTGAGTTTTTGTTTGATTTGGTTCTGCAAACCATTTTTGAAATGTGTCGTTAGTAAAAAAGTGCGATTGGCGGTATCGCTATCGCTTGGATATGCCTCAAGAATTTGTTGTCTAAGTCTATTAGAGAAAAGTGTGGGAGATTCTCCTGGAATCATTCGCATATCCATCAATTTTTCGCGGGCAGAATCCAAAAAATGGTCCGTTGAAAAGTGGCTTTTGAGTTTTGCTATGATTGTTTCCCAGCTAATTCTGTCTTCTGGCGCCATGTTATCGTAAACAGCTTTTGCTACACCTTTTAAATGTGCTGGGAGTAAGCGAACCATTTTATTGCTTGTTAAACCCATTATCGAAGAAATTTCTTCAAATTGCGTGATAAATTGCATAAGACCTTTGGGTCCTTGATCTCCAGAAAATGTTGGTAATTTGCTACTATATGAGGAGAGAGTTAGTTTATCAAAAACCGTATCCAAACGATCTATGAAAGTTGCTTCAGAATGATGATTTTGAGACATTGAAGCGTGATCCATAATTTGCGTTGCGGTCTGATTTGAGCAAACACTTAGAGATGGCGAAATGTGTGAAAGATTGTTAGCAATTTCCTGTGGTAACAAGATTTGCTGAGGTACTATTGTCGAAAAAATCTGTTGTTGAACGAAATTTGAGGACTGTTGTTGAGAGGTTAGTGTTTGAGCTTGCTCTTGGGTTATAGGAATGAAAAATTCCTCTTTTTGGGATATAAAAACCTGAGGTTGATTTTGAGTTACGGGAATCAAAAGTTGAGCGGGCTCTTGAGTTGCAAGAATTGGAGTTTCCTCTTGAGTTACCAAAGCTTGTGATTGTTCTATGGGAGGAGTAGAGACTCGAGAATTCCCAGCTTTTGGTGATGAACGAAGAGATGAAGAATCTAGAGAAACTATCGAAGAAGCTTCGGTAGGAGCTACTGAGGAAACTTCAGTAGGTGGAGAAGCTACGCGACGTTTGACAGGACTACTTGATTTATATTCACTACACCTTACTCTATGAACTTTATGCGATATACGCGAATGAGATCTTGGTCTTCTTTTAATAGTCCCACGCTCGGTTGTATTGCAAGGTTTTGGAGACGCACAAGAACTAAGTTCAGTATCAGAACTGTTCATGTAACAGCAACACTTTCAATGATAATGTTTTGCAAAAAAAAAGTTATTTTTTTTTCAAAAAAAATTTTTTTTTCGAAGCTCGATCGACTAAACGTGAAGGCAACCGCAAATTCGTCGGGTATCCGACAAATGAGGACCACAATCGACACGAATGGAAGAGAATATCGAATAACCAAACGTGAAGGCAACCGCAAATTCGTCGGGTATCCGACAAATGAGGACCACAATCGACACGAATGGAAGTAAAAAAAAATTTTAAGGAATAGAAAGTTTTTATAAAGCACAGATATTTCCGTATTAGAGTTTTCTTAAAATTGGGACAACCAAGCGGATGGTCAGATGTAAATGTTATGCTATAGTTGCGTTACTATATATTGTATTAGTGTATATGGATCGCACCTGTATCCCAATCGTTGCTTCACAGGTTGCGGTTGAGATAGGCTAGTTCCAATGGAGAGGCTTGATTGTTGAGCGGTGAGCGAGATAGTGTTGTTCGTTGGAGGGGCTAGACGGCTGGTTGCAGGCTAACGACGGCGGCGGGCAATGAGATACAGTAAGGGTACTGTAGGAGACTTGAAGCTCAGGAAGCTTTGAAGGAAGCTAGAGAAGAGCTTGGAGACGACCGATTGGTGTGAACACCAATGTATGGAATGATCCAAGACTAGCGTTCGAAGGCGGGTCGACTAATATTACGATAAATGGGCGGAGCTAGGAGTAAGGGTCAAATTGGGGGGGGGGGGGGGTAGAAGAAAAGTGTAACAATTTCGGTATCCCATATTTTGCTATTATAAATATGTATTTTTTTGGATAGTCATATAAAGTTGTACGAACATCGTTGCGCAATTTTGGGCGTGCGTACAGGAGAGTTTCGGCATGGATAAAAGTTTCGGCAGGATGTAAGGCTATGCGTATGATTACTGCCATTCGCTTATTAGCATTGGTCAGGCAGTGGTCGCTCCTCCTTGCTACAAAATTTTTGTTATCATTATTTCCTCAATTGCAAATAAGTTGAAGTCAGCCTTTATAGTGAAAATAAACTAACTACCTGCTCATATAATGTCAAGCTACGCTGATGGGCCAGAATCTACCGATTCGGAATTCGATGATGTAAGTTTTGCTTTCGTTTCATTATGCTATAAGATTCTAAGAAACATTTTGTTTGTTTTCCAGGTGTTTGATGCGTACTTTGATCAATATTCTACAAGGAATTCGGAACTGCAGAAAAAATTTGATGAACTGGAAACGAAACTGGGACGTCAAATGCTTGAAAACAGGAAGCTGAGAGTGGCTTTGGAGGTGCAGCAGAACTGCTCCAACCGGCTGCAGGAGCAGCTCCGAGTTCAGCAGAGGCAACACGAAAATGCCAAAACACGCTATGAGGAGGTGCTGGCACGGTACGATAGGAGAGTGGATGCGCAGGAAGCATCTATTGCAAAAAAAGATGATGTAAGTATTATATTATTACTTTTTTTTGACTACATATTTAATGGAAGTAAAAAAAAATTCCTCAAGTGTATGTATATACTTATCTTTTAGGAGGTAGAACGATTGGTGTTGGATCTGTATAAAGCTAGGGTAATCTCCCAATCAAGCGTGGCTATAATGAGCAGCTACATAATGTAGTTCTTCATGATATGGAGGAGGAGGTCATGATGGCGAGCCTCTCTAGGAGAAGCGTTACCAGCTCCTACATAGATGTGCAAGGAGATGGACGAGCTACTCTTACTTTGCTATTATGTGATGATACGCATATAAGCGGTTAGTTTGGTCTAGTAATCATTAAAGTGTGTAAGGTAGTTACAATTCTTTCAGGTGTTATGAGGACATCGGATGGTAGGCCATACAGTTTCATTCGAGACTGCGAAGACAATGTATGGAAGGGCGATCATGAGGGCCTTTGCATGGGGTTTGGTCATTTAACGATGACCAATAATTGCGGAAGGATTCCATTGCTGGCTCGGTTCTCGGCCATGCTGGAAAGGAGTCTAGATAGGACTCGAAGTATTCGTTTCATCAACTTTGATGAAACGGAAAGGATTACGACAATAATGCAAGAAGGTCGGAGGGTAGTCATGCGAACTTAGTTACATTGCTAGGCCAGCGATGTTATGTATGTATGTTTCTATGTGTTCATAAAGATTTGAATTTGTCATGTTTTGTTGTCGACAGCAGAAAGTAAAATTACGACAATATAAGTTGCGTAAGACAGACGCTTGCGGGTCATATTATGCAACTGTTGTTGTTAGTCGCGCGTCTCAATCGTAAAAGATTACGCAATTATTAATCCTGTTCTAAGGTTTATCGCGACACGAGCAGACGCGAGCATTGCACTAATCGCGGCTGTAAGGTCATAACGCGCAGATATCAATAATCTGGCGCGGGGTCACATGCTTACAACATACGAGGGCAGCTGCGTTGCTTTATTGCCAGAAGGAGATCACCGCGCGCGAACAGAAGCACTGGGTTTCGCTATATTTCCTGAGAGGTCGAAGCATTACGATTGGTCGACACTTCCCAGCAGAAGTTATCTGCAGTGGGCCAGCAGATTTATCTTTCTGGGTCTAAAACTGCAGTTTTTATTTGAGCTAGCGATTGCGAACAAGTCCATTGTCTAATTATAAAAAAAAGAAGAAAAAATAAGAATTAGTTAACGAAAATTCACGGAATCACGGTTTCACGGATTCACGGATCACGGATCACGGATCACGGATCACGGCTGCTAAATGCGCTTTCGAATTCACGGATTCAACGGATTCAAGGAATCACGGATCACGGGAAATGCGGGCGCTTTACGAAAGAAAGAATTGACAAAAATGGGACTGTTCGCAGGACTGTTTAAATAATTTTTATTTTATTTTGTTTAATATGTTTTCTTTTCTTTCTGAAATGGTTAAATATTTGACTCATACAGAGGTTAAATATATCACTTACACGGCTAATATATTTTGCGCAAAATAAAAAAAAACACTCACACACAATTGTTCGTTGGTGACGTCCATAGCGATCGATCGAATTGTAGAAGGGGGAGGGGGGGGGGGGGCGTGTAAATTTTTTTGAAACCCATATCAAAAGTGAAGGTGGAAAAAAAAATTCTAGAATTCTTAAAAAAAAAAGAAATCTACCCGGGACCTCCATGTCAGGCTTAAGGGTTCGCGATCCCCTTACCTGATGTGTAGCGGTACAGGTTGGTATTATATATATATTTATTATTTACATGTTATGTTACAATAAGGGGGAAAGGGGGGAGAGACTGCAGAAGCAGCCTTACGGTGCACGGTCGTCGGGGGTCACTGATCCTGACTGGCCTCCGTGGCCAGCCCCCGGGAGAGCAGCTGTTTGAGCTGAGCTGAGCTGCGTCCCGACAAATTTATTCGATATTCGTTTATTCGAAATTTTTCCTTTTCGAATTTATTCGATATTCATTCATTCGATGAAAAATTATCGAATTACCCAAGTATACTGGAGATGACTTTGAGAGATTTGAAAAACAGATTTGTAATGCAAATTGGAAGGCGCATTCACAGGGCCTAAAAACATAGGGGCCTGCAGGCGCGAGAGTCGGACGAGCGTACGGCCATCGCGCCGCGCACGTCAGATGTCACTAAAGCAGGTGCCAGACTTATCCGCTTCAGCCGGTTCGTTCGGCTCATAGGTCAAATCACTACACTGTCCAACAGCAAAGGTGGTGAACCGAATGAACCTGTTCAACATGATAAGTCTGGCACTACCTGAGTCGTCGGACGCACATCTGACGTGCGCGGCGCAATGGCCGTACGCAGATCCGACTCTCGCGATCCTGCAGGGCCCTATACCCTAATTTCAGGTGTATAAGCCACACTTTTTCGAATTTTCAAGCGAGCTGCTCAGCGGCCTCGCTGTGCTTTGAAAAGCGATTTCTATGCCGCACGATTCTCTCAAGCATTAGGCAGCACAATATAAGGTCCTTTGGTCGCGAAGTCCTTTGACGTGTTTGGGCCGGTCAATTTCACAAAAAATCCCGCGCGGCTTATACAGCTGAAAATAGGGTATGTGAAGATTGGGAATCGTAATGGTAAGAAAAGGCAACTTCGTTATAAAAACTTCTTCTTTTGTGAATTTTGAAGTTCAGATTGCTGAAGACCAGGATTTTCATTGAGTATTCAGTTTTCCTTTGGGATAAAGGAATAGTTTGCCTTTTGAGTCAATGTACCAAAGCAATCAAAATGCCATGAAAACACATCCGGAGGCTTGTATCAAGATGCAATATGCAGTTTGTCTCATAACTTCGAACCTGTTCTAATTCTAAATTTTGACAAAGGGATTTCATAGGATACGCCATCAAAAGTCGGTAATCCTTTCGAGGCTGTGCACAATAGCAAAAGTTCATCACATGCAACTCAGTAAACATTATTTTGTGATTAGCAATCCCTACTTTTAAGTTCGAGTCCAGATCACTAAAAAAATCACATAAGATCTTTCGCACAACATTGAACATGAAATTCCTCAGCTTTCAATGGTGAATTTTGAAGGCTCAGTATCTGGTAAAAACAGAACTCGAGTAGCGAGAGTAGTGTTTATCTATCCGATAGGCGTATTGCTGAAAATGTGCATTCAATCCTGATTCCAAATCCGTCCTTCGCATCCTTGGAAAGATTCCAGGAAAAATTATAATGTTTGTCTCTAATCAATGTCCTCGCCAAATTATCCTGGATCCTGGCCAAAATCTTCTCCACAGCGCTCGCGCCCTCAATTATCTCCTATGGCAGGCGGCAGGCCTTTGGTCCCTCCACCGCATCCGAGACACCCTGTATATCAATTCAACTCTTAATGGAGTATATATGTTTGGATGGTACCCGTGCGTGACCTGAACAGTATGCAAGACGAGTCGTCCTTGTATGTCGTAGTAGTCTCTCGTTCTGTTTTCGGCCATTGTTTGAAATGATAATCTTTTTTGAAGTCAAAGGTTTTTAGATCAAAATTGTGTCACCACTAAGCCGTTTTTTTATCATAAATTGTAACATAAGAAGTGTCTGTTACATTACACTTACATGACAGCTTATTGTTAGACCAGTGCGTCACCTCTGCTTCGCAGAGGTTCGCACTGGCCCTACTTTCTGTATGCCTTACTCATTTCCGCATAGTAATGGCACTGAAACTCATCGCGCTATGCAGGCTATCACGAATGATTTGTAAACAACTACTCATTCCTAAAGCTTTTTCGTGTGAGGTCGGTATTTTCGCGTGGATGAAACTTCTCCCAGAAGAATAGATGCAAATTTGAATCGGTTTTTGGGTTTCTTATGGCTTGGTAGTCGTCATAAGGGCAATAATCATCGTGGGCTACATCTCTGTGCAAAAATCTCCTCAAATGGTCAATTAAATTCTTGGTAAATTGAACATTTACGCAACTAATTCTTTTTGGCGCCAACTTCGTAAAGTAATCAACTTTAGTTCAGTTTTCTGGGTTAGGGTCCATGGCTTCCACATTAGCTTGTCAAACATATCCACAACTTCGCAAAAAGTGGTTATACAGGCCCAATTTTGCTGGCCAGAAGCAAAGTGGATCCGTTTGACGCGCGATTTTTGAGGGATCCACTCGAGGATCCGCTCGTGCTTTCGCATAGTGGACTTTCACGCTGCTCGCATGCGCCATGCAAAAATTGGTATCAGGACGTTGGCTGGAACACGCTCCTCGAATTTCGTAACGGACAGACAGACACATACACACACACACAAAAAAACGTAAACAACCTTAGCCCGTTATTATAAGTTATGATGTTTTGATCTCTCGTAAGCAGTCATCTCATTGACATTGTTTATTCGAATGGTATTTGAAAATCGAATGATTTTCAAAATTCGAATAATGCGAGTTGCGGGTTTACCCAAGTATAATATGCACCCTTATATAGTCGTCCTCATAGATGCGATAAGTTGAGTATGACCCCTCCAGGGTGAAGGGGGAGACGGCCCTTCTGAACCCACCGTCTACTACAGTAACCCCGCAGGTAGGACGCGGGCGCCCGCGCTGCGGTCATTGCGGACGAGTCTCCTGCGGAACGCTTTATTTTCGAAAGTCACAGCATTGGGATCCGAACGCAATAGTAATCTTCACTTATCCAGTCCCATTCCTGTAAAGCTGCTCGCTCCATTTAGCTATTCTACGGCCTCACTTTATCCTGTGTCAATCGGGTTTGCTTCTGGACCTAGTTTTTTTATTCCTTGAGTGATTATATGGATGGTTTTCTCATTTCATTTTAATTACTTTTAATGTTTGTGTGCATCCTTTCTGTTTCATGCATTGTCACACGTTTGAACGTTGTGAACTGCATGATGCTTCGAGAGGAAAGCATACGCGACCCGACCCACAATTCAAAGTACAACAGATGGTTCTCTACGAACTCTGCACGATACCGAATAGTTTATAGTTTGCTCTAAACGACTTCCGCTCAATACCAAAGCATTTGTTCGGTAGCATCTAGTTTTCTGCGCAAACGCCACTCATTTCTCGCTAATTTTTGGGGTTGTGCATGGAATTTTGAATGTTCATAAGCCACTGCTTGTAGATCAAAATTCTGAGCTAGATTAGAACTTCTCAGCTTTCTAAAGCTCACGAAACAGTTACGAAACAGTGATATCCACTATTTTCCTAATGTTGTATAGACCACGACACCGCACCCAATAGACATTATGCGTCAAAAATGCGTACTTGATGTAAATATAGTGTACACTACTTACCTCAACCTGTAATTTATATTTTTCAAATTCTACTTCCTCCCTATATCTCTGGAGTTGGGAAAATGACTGTAGAAAGTATTGGTAAAACTGATTGATTTTAAATATCGCTACTCGTACTGGAATCTCATGTCATGGGGATTCTTTATCATGCTGATTCCGAAAACGGTCCTCATTTTGCTTGATAGCCGTTCATCGTGTAACTGCAGCAGTCTCCCGGTACTGAAGCCAAAACCACAGAATTGCCTAGAATTTGTTTAATGAAGTTGTCTACATGCTGTAAAAAATAATATTTATTTCATGATATTTCTTTCCTGTAGTTATGAGCAGCAGAAATGTCAGAATGGATAATTCCCCATAGCTAAGTTTGGAGTTATTTGATGTGCTAATTGAAAGTGCAGGTCAGAAGTAAGGAGGCTGTCTTTCCAGATTACTCATATAATTACCGCACAGTTTATAGACTGCCTATGCCAATTACTTTTATCACTTCTGACATTCATTGGGCTTTCGATGCTATCGTAGGTTCGAGCGCGTAAGAGGTAATGTAAGATGTTTGGCAAATTTTTTTCAAACTAATCCATCCCATTGTTGGGATTTTTATAATCTAAAAACTCGGAAGAGCAAATTCTACCATTGTTTAGACAATGTGCACAGCAGTCTCGAATCTCCCATTCGTAGATATTTATGCAGTCGCTATAATGGGCGCAGAAAAACTGTTGCGACAAACTGCATTAACAAGAATCTCGGGTCTCGGGTTATCAGCAATAATCAGACCAAAATGTGTGTTTTCCCTGCAAGCTTCGTTTAGTTCACGTACACAAATGAATGTGACGATACACGATGCAACAAGGATTGCGCACATGAAGCAAGAAGAGTTACCAGCATTCAGCTTACTCATCCAAAAATAAAGCACTTCATAGTTGAAGCAAACACATCCCACAGTTTTTTCGTGATTGGAAGCACGTCAATTCAGTGGATAGCAGCGAGTTTGTTAGGTAAAACAGCAGGATAGCGGCATTCAGTTGAATTATGCGCCTACGACATCTCTATCAAGGGTCTGAGGGAGGGAGGTCACCACTGAGGAACTCGTCCGTTTCTGCAACGCACATGCGTAGGTCAACCGCTCGCCTTGACGAAGCAGCCAATTAAGACGTGACCTCTGAGACGCGCTGACCTATCGTAGCCATCGCGATTAGAGCGGGTTCAGAAGGGCCTACACCCGGGTGAAGGGGGTTAAGGGTCGCAACCTCACCAGACCGAAGTTGGCCGGCACACCCATATCCCTCTCGACTAATCTAAAAAACTATGAGATTTGGCTATCAAACTGTATTAATTTGTTCGCAAAAATTCTCTTTGCAGGTAAGTTAATGTGATGTGGCACAGCCTCAAAAAATTTGTGGCTACACACCTTTTTAGGGGTTGTGTCACAAACTATCAACTTACCTGAAAGCACTGGACATCTGTGTTTTTACATCGCTGCCACTGCTAAAAAATATACCTACATAGCAGGAATTTCGTTTGAAATAGTTCCCTAAGGAAAGATATAGTCGTTTTTTCTTACCTATGCAAGTGAAAAATAGTGCAAAAAGCTTGATACGGTAACATGCTAAGACTGCGCTGCTACATGGATCGCGAGGGAAGGCGACGAAATGAATATATTCGATAGCCTAGAACATATAACATTCACAATAGTGATTTGAGCTGATTGCTCTTTTCCTGAGATATTGAAAGCGAAAAATGGGAGAAACGAGATTTTGGCTTGTTCTTAACTCCATAGTTTGGAGCTCATTTGAAGTGGGATTCTTAATGTGAACAGAGAAATTATATTTCTTGGTAGCAAAAGCGAAAAGAAATAGTTAACTCACTTTTGACATAATTAGGTTCGAAAATTACCATCTCATCTAGGCGGTTTAAATTCTACAAACTTCAGAGACCGTATTCATCCTTGATAACTTGAGGTAAATCCTACTTTCAGGTAGCTTTATCACTCATCAACAGTGATAAAACTATATGATAATGACTGATAAAACTACCTTGAAGTAGGATTTACCTTAAGGTGTCAATGATGAATACGGCCTCAGAATTCGCTGAAACTTGGTCCACAGGGGTTATTTAACATGATGATTGCGAAAAAATGCTCTCACTTTTAGGTTCTTTTATTATGCTTACTATAAGTAGCGACGGTAGGCCAAAACATCAATGTGCTAGTATTTTGCATAATGCCTATTCACTTTTGAAAAAATTATGTTCGAGAATGACCATCTCATCTAGGCGGCTTAAATTCTACAAACTTCAGACCTTACCTTCGGCACATGGAGCCATGTACTCTGATACCTTCTTTTGAGCGACATAAAAGAACGCAACCTTTACCTAAAGGAACAAAAGTGATCCGGGGCGAAGTCCCGATGTTATGATCATAGCTATAATCGAAATGATGTGAATGAAACAAGTACAGTGGGTAAAAAAGATATCAAAGAAAAAGCGAATGTTGCGTTTTTAAAGCCTTTTTCACGTTACAAAAATTACCCGGAAAATTACCCCAAAAATTACTCCGCTGAAAAATTCCTCGGAATTCAAGACTACATTTCTCACTTAACCTCTTTTTAGACTAAAAATAAGTTTAGAGTCTCACGAAAGCTGCTGGGTTCAAAAAAAAAACGTGAAACAGAGAAAATCGCGCACAGTAATGTTGCTTTATCTCGTTAATGAGTGATTGTCAACGCCTGTGACGTTGTCAGTGTTCCCAGTCGTGTCATGGCGATCAGAATCTTATATATCAAGCACGGGTGCGATAAGGTGAGAATGACTCCTCCAGGGTGAAAGGGGTCACTGCGGTCGCAGCCCCCCAGGGTGAAGGGTCTTTCACTTGGCAGAGAAATTATGAAATGTCGACCCGGAGGGGGAGGTGAGCCATGGTATTCTCTCATCACTCTTCTAGTCAAAGTTTATAATTTTTAATTCCCTGCCATCATTGGTTGTCTTTCTCTGAAATGTGAACCGATGTGTTGTTGGATTAGCGCAAAATTATATTTCTGATAAGCACCTTGTATTTTCCATTTTCTTTCCCCTTTTTACATCACCCTGCCTGCTTTCAAAATTACCATAGAAGATGTGCATGCGAGAAGATTTGTTTCGCAAAAAGTTAGACACTTTTTAAGTATTTACGAACTTTTCAAAAGAAGAAATTAGTAATTTCTGTAGATGAACAGCAGCGTCAGCAAGGGAAATGCTTTCGCAACCATCTTGTCTTCTGCTTTTAGAGCATATATAGTTTGCCTGGAATCTGTTGAAAAAGTGTTTGGTGAAGAGTGTGGGTAGTAATTTCCGCATATTTACGAGTTTTCCAGATAGGAAAATCCGTAACTTCTGAAGATGAACATCTTGTATGCCAGATGGTCACCGTTGGAACCGCCTCGTCCTCCGCTTTCAGAAAATATATACTTTGCCCAGAGTACGTCGAAAAAAGTGCCGGGTGAAGGGTGGGTGAGACTTTTATAATGGGAGTGCTCAAGTGGAGGCTTTTTTACCATTGTAAAAAGACGTCTACTTGAGCACTCCCATTATGAGAGTCTCACCCACCCTTCACCCGGCACTTTTTTCAACGGATCCTAGGCAAGATATATATTTTCTGAAAGCGGAGGATACGATGGCTCCAATGGTGACCATGACGGCGTACAATATGTTCATCTACAGAAGTTATGAATTTTTTTATGTTAAAAACTCGAAAATCTCCAGAAATCACTAGGACACCCTTCACCCAGGCACTTTTTCTAGCGGACCCTAGGCAAAGTATATATTTTCTGAAAGCGGAGGACGAGGTGGTTCCACTGGTGACTATGACGGCGTACAAGATGTTCATCTACAAAAGTTATAAATTTATTCTAAAAACTGGAAAATCTCCAAAAATCATTAGAACACCCTTCAACCAGGCAGTTTTTTGGATGGATCTGAGACAAATTGTATATCATTTGGAAAAGGAGAAAGAGGCGGTTCTAAGGTGATTGCCTCGCCGGCCGCGAAAGATTTTCATCTACAAAAGTTAGGAATTTTTTGAGTCAAAAACTCGAAAATGTCCAGAAATCACTGCTCACACCGTCACCATGGTCATTTATCGATTTTTCGCGCTGTATACCTCCGGGGCTGGGAATTGGCATAGGGGGGCAAGTGGGCATGGCGATTCCGAATACTATATTAGTCTCTGGAATAATCGATTGCTTTTATCGATTTTATCCATTTTTTGCAAAATTTGAGCTACAGGGCTGGCAGTTGGCACAGGGGTAAGTGGGCATGCTGATTTCGAAAACAACACAGGGAACGGGAAATGAAGTGTAGAAGAGGGAAAGGCTTTACAGGGATAGGGATGGGAACTTTATTGAAGTGTTTTGACGGAGCCGAGATGAGCCGGATAAGCAAGCTAGTGATATATAACGTTACAGTATTTGGTTGAGACCCCGCGGAGATCTACGACCAGAGCCACCGTCGGCTCTAGTCTTTCTCCTCTGCTGCCTGCGTCTTCGCGCTTTGCGCTCTACCTCACTACTTCAAACGCAGAGCACGGGCATTCGGTTCTTTTACCCCTTTCTTCGCCATTCTGAATTCAATTTTAGCAAACAAAAAAGCTCTTGGTCTCTAAGCGATAGCGCCTAATCTAGGCCGACTATTGCGTGACAAAGAAGCAAACTCTCCTTTACTATGATCGATTTCGCACACTCTAATCCTCATCGGATCCAGTTTATAGGCATTTGTAAATGCACTCTTACTCCTCTGTGGAAATGTGTGGCGAACGTCATGAAGAACGAGAACAATAAGCCGCGATTTCCAGCCCGAACAAAGACAAGTTATGTTTGTACTCATAGAAGCAATAAGACTTTACTTTGCATCTAAGCAAGACTGAAGCCAATGACCCAAGGCAGGGGTAGTTGGAAATTAGAAACTGGGAACTATACAATCAATGAGATCACTATCTTATATACATCTACGAACTATTCAGCGTAGTAGCGAAATAGATTGAAAGAAATTAAAGATTACTATAATGCAGTTAGTTCTAAAAAATTATGAACGTGAATGCAAGTATTAGAATGTGCCAGCAAAGAAGATACCCGTATGAAATTGGATTAACAAGTACAATTGACAAATACGACATTCGCATTTGCGATGAAGGATATAATCCAGTTTCCAATGAAGAACATATGTATAGTCATGTAGGTAATTCAGGTTAGATGCTAGGAGATAGCAGTAACACAATTCCAAGTATATAATGTTACTTTGCTATGTTGAACGGATAAGGGCCGTTGCCAAAATAGCCCGCCGCTGGATTGAACATGAAATCAGTGGCAGATGGAGCTACTGGAAAAGCCGCTGGGTTAGCGCTAGATCCACCAAACGAAGCCATGCTTTGCGGATAGCGCGGCCAACCTCCACTGCCTGACTGTGATCGCCCGTTCACCGGCGTCATTCCGTTGGGATAGGGATAGGGGAACGCAGTAGGATTTGAAGGCATCATGGAACCTTAAATATGAAATTTATGTAAGCGCGTAATTAATTTGATTTACAAAGTCAACGATGAAGTATCAACAAGATAAATGAGACTTCACGGTGAAGGGAAAAGAGGTAAGTGATTCCGCCATCAGACGTTGCGTCTACGGATTACTGATCCTCACATGATACGCATTAGCATGTGAAAAAGACTGGCAGTCCGCGGAGGAAAATTAGCGCCTACTGGCGAAATTAGTTGCTCTACCCTAGAAAGAACAAAAAAAGCATCACCAACCCATGCCAGGCGCAGCCTTTGCGGCTGCATATTGCGGATAGCTTGCTTGCCAATAAGGACTCGCGGTTGAAAATCCTGCAGTGGTTGGGTCAAAATGGGCAGGATATGCAGACGGATAAGTTGAGTATGTTTGTGGATGAGCAGCTCCCGCCATCCCCGCATACGGATTTGCAGCGAAGGACATAGTATGCATAGCCGCCATATGCTGCTGCTGTTGCTAAATTTCAAAGTTCACAACCATAAGAGAAAACAACTGATTCCACCTGCTGTTGCAATTGTTGTTGTTGTTGCTGCTGCTGCTGTTGCTGTTGTGTGCTTCGATGTTTTGATCTCGACGATTCTCCGCTTCTCCTCGATCCTCCAGAGGGCTGTTGAGAAACTGATTCTGTCGATGTTCTCACGCGCATTTCCTGCGCTGGTGCTTGCTGTTGTATAGAAGCCGGCTGTGGAGGACTTCCAAAAGCAGGAGCCGACGCTTGGCATGATGGTCGCAACGGGGTGCTGGGATCAGAGTGAGCTGCCGATGCTCCAGCTGAAGGCGGAGCCAAGTTGCCATAGGCGGACTGACTGGATGGACCTGTACCCCCAGCTAGTTCCAAGGAAGAATTGTGCTGAGAGTGTACTGAAGACACTGATGATGGCTGTGCGCATACATTCTGAACAGTCGTGAAACTAAAAGAGAAGTGAAAGTTCCTCATTGTTCACCTGCATAACCGGACTCATGAATGTTTGCTGCTGCATTTCTGGGGTGTGCTGGCTCGGCATTTGGCAAGATGGTACGCTGCCTGGCGTTGTCTGCTTCAGACTTCTGCACAAAAACCAAGTACAATGTGATGATTTGGTTATTTCAGATCCTAACGCGCGAATGCACAGATATCGAGATACGAAATTACGCAAGACTCACGCGGGATACTGTTGCAAAGGAGTAGGGACTGGTTGACTAGATACCGACGAGCATTGTTGTTCCATAGTTGGAAGTGACTGCGCTGGTAACATTGCCGTGTATATATTCTTTAATTGAGCTAACTTGAACGAAATAAAGAAGACAAAACATTTGACTAACGCACCTCGCTTTCATCGTCGGCCACCTTGTCTAACATCGCAGGTGCCTTTGGAGGTCGATCCATAGCAAGCTGCTGCTTCTGGAAATAATATGTCTGTACGAGACAAACATGCAAATGACCGACTTCTTCTTCAGTCATTTCACGTGGAAGTACGGCTCTCGGCTCAATATTTGCTGGTGAGAGTTGAGGTGGTGCATCATCATCGTCTGTGTAGTCATCGCGCACGATAGGAGGTGCTCCAGCAACGGCATTCTCTTTTGCTTGAGGGTCACCATGAATACGTGGTGGTGCCTCATCGCTCGATGCCCCTCCAGCTGAACTAGCAATAACGGCCTCAGCTTGTAGCTGAGGTGGATGATCACTTTCCTCCGAAGGAGCACACCTTGAAGTAAGTGAAGCTAATTTGTCTAATTTTCTCTAATGAATGCTCCATAAAGTCAAATCTGAACCTTGAAAACCCATCATCATCATCGGGAACTCCTCCCATATTTACTGCTTCCTCATGATCTGGTACTCTGTCACCTATAGGTCGAGGAGAATCGACCACTCCAGCTCCGCGACTGGAGCAACTTGAAGCGCTCCGAGACGATTCCGACAAAGCGTGACTAAAATGCCTACGATCATATTATGAAAATATCTAGGGAAGGGGAAGGGTACAAAGGTGAACACAACTTCTGAAAGCATGAAGTCTTTATGAAAGCAGAGCATTCATAAAGACTCTTTCCTTTCAAAAAAAAAACGCTGAAGCAGAGTGAGTAGCTGTCGCTAATCAAAAACAAAACGAACACAACGCTAAACAAGAAAAACAACTCTTGCCTCGGCTCATCATCACTATGCTCACTAGTTTCTGCGCTACTAGCTGTCGCTGATTTAACATCTTTCCCGTGCACTTGTATCGGTTTCGGTCCCGCTTGAGCACCCGTATCAGGTCGTACAGCAGGAAATGCTGCGGAATGATGAGTTTGAGGGCGTTTCGTAGGGATAGGAGAGGCAACTATAGCTGCCACCTAAATGGTTTTGAAGCTTATCCTTTTGATATGATTGATCGACTTTACCTCATCATCAGCTTCAACATCTTGTAAAGTTCTTCCTCCCCCAGGGCTGCACCGCAGCGCTGCATCATCTAATCTCATGGGAACAGTTGCTGCAGTTCCCACAGAGGTGGAAGGACTGTCACAGTGCGGCACTGTTGAGGATACAGCATCCTTCGCATTTGTGGGTAAAGGAGATGCAGTTACTGCAGCTGCCTTAGGAGGGCTTCGCTGTCCATAATTACCAGGAAACACCTAGAGAAACCATTCAAACTGCCTAGATAGTAGCGCGATAAAAAAGGCTAGGCTTTCTTACCTTCCCGGGACTCTTTCCAGAGACTTTCCGAGATACAGGACGTTTCTTCTTCTGATTTGGAAGGGCCTTTCCTTTCTGAGGCTTTTTCCCGATGTGAAACGAGATATCCAAGTCATCTAAAAATGACGCGATGGTTGAATACAGGGTTTCGAAAGCTACTTATATGGGTTATAAAAATGTGCAAGTGACTTGTTTATTTTTGTAAACAATTAAAATAATTTTTAAAAAATTTTAAAAATTCAAATTAGCCTTGTAAAAAAATTTTTTCGGAGGCGTGGCTGACGCCACGCCCCCTTTTTCCGGATTTTAGGGGTTGAGGACCCGCAAAAATTTTGAGAAGCACTCCTAAAATTTTTTCGGAGTGCGTGGCTAACGCCACGCACCTTCATTTGAAAAAAATTTTTGTCGCGCCCCCACCCCCGAGCGGAAATCCTGGGTACGCCACAGATAGGCGCCGAACCTAATTGCCCGCGCCGTGCCTTGAACACCGCGTAAGCGAGCGGTCGTAGCGAACGACTGTCGGCGTTCACTATATTCCAAAAATTTTTCTTTAACTTTCATGTTGTTCTCGTCAATGCAGGGTATATCTTGACGAAAGCTCCCTTCAAAAGTTTAAAATATGTGTGGAAAGGGTGCGCGCTCATTGTCGCTCGAAAAAAGCCTGTAGCGCTTCGGGACCAAACGTTTCCTCGCGCCGCGCGTTGGTGTTCAAAGTGACGCGTGGGCAATTGCATTTTACGGGGCCTGTACAGACAGGGAAAAACGTGTCTAATATTTTCAACAGAAAAGTCCCTAGTTTTGTGATTTCTGTGACCTAATAGAAGGCAAAAGCTATAACTAGCGTGCTCGATACACTATTCACAATAAAGGCAGCTTAGCAGCTACAGCCTGTGTCGATGCGTATTATCTCTCTATAGTGAAGCGCAGGGGGCCCCACCCGACGTCAGCAACGGCGATGGAATGTATGTGGAGGTCACTGTCTTTATTGCACTTTGACTAGAGTTGCATACTGTTTACCGTTACTCGACACAGTCGCCTAAGTGCAACCTATGACGTCCTCATGTTTAGCACTAACTTGGCTTTCTCGATAATGTTCACAATGACATCGAATTAAAAACCATAAGTAATTGATGAACATTTAACCACTCAGTTGTGTCTGATGATCTAAGATCTGATGGTTTTGGAAATCTGATTCTACCCAGTTTACATCGGAACAGTGTCTGAACTCTTCAGATAGATATCCACCAAGTTATAAAAAACAATATCTTTTTAGATGAATTACAGCGTGTTGATGCGAACTGTTTTGAACAGGGCTCGGCACAAGGTGGCTTCTGGAAAATGCAAAAAGCGAAGTCCCCCTTGACTTTCGCGATTTTTTACGAGGTCCCCTTTGACCCGAAAACTTAAACGTAAAGAAACCCTCAAAAACGAGACGCCTAAAAAAACGTTGCGTCTTTTCGGCCTTAAAACGACACACCCTTTGTCTTTCGTCCCAAAGACGATATCCACCTTGCTTGCAAGTCACATGTGCCGAGCTGCCTTGAAACTCCACACTGGATGCGGAAACCTTTTTTAGCTACATATGTAAGTTCTAATAAAAGACTTCATCTCAGAATTTCGGATTTTCCTACGAAAAAGGATAATAGTCCTTTTTGAAAAACTTCAACCACGATCGCAGTGAATTCCACAGTAGTACACAGGCAGGTGTATATAAGAGAAAGACAAGAAGGGCTTCACTTGCCATCAACTCAACCCCTGCTAACCCCAGACTATGTATTAGGTTGTTACATAAATCTTGTTACACTCTGGTTACTTTCAGCGATAAGTCTTACGCTTCACATTTTCACTAGGGCTTCAAGATACCTTTCGATAGAGCAAAGCAAGCTCTACAAGATGGCATGCGCAGGTTCGCACTAGCTTCGACCCGCCGCAAGTTTGAAGCCGAAATGCGATTCGTACTCAGTGCCCAAGAAATCAAAAAAATTCTATATTTTCGTTCAAAAACATCCTGCGGATCTCCCGCTCACTCACATGGATAACACTTCACATCAGACATTCATATATACAGTTACTGTATTTTTTGCTTAGCTAGGAGTCGAGAAAATCGAAATTCTTGCCTCACACAAAAAAGAAGCTATGCTGTTTTCACGCATGTTATTGTTTACTACAGGCCTTAAGAAGTATAAAGGTAAATTTTCAGCCTTTCATAAGGCCTAGTTTTTAAACATGTTGATTTCAATATGGAACACCCGAGTGAAGAGGGCTAAATTCGATGTATTTCGAAAACTAGAGCTTGTGCGAAGCTGAAAATTTACGATGGTACTTCTTTTGGACTGTAGTAAACAATAACATGCGTTAAAACAGCATAGATTCGTTTTTGTGTAAGTAAAAGAATTTCGATTTTTTCGACTTCTAGTTGAGTAAAAAATACGGCAACTGTGCATGGGAATGTCTGATGTGAAGTGCTATCTACTTGATAGCAAGCGGGAGATCCATAGGATGTTTTTGAACAAAGATATAAAATTTTTTCGATTTTTTGAGCATTAAGTGCGACTCGAATTACGGCTTCAAACTTGCGGCGGATCGAAGCTAGTACGAAACTGCACAAGTCATCTTGTAGAGCTTGCTTTGCTCTATCGAATGGTATCCTGAAGCCCTAGTGAAAATATAAAGCTTAGGACTTATCGCTGTAAGTATACAGAGTGTAACAAGACTTATGTAACAACCTAATATTTGCAAGTTTTCAACGCAGTTTTGTCAAAGTCCCATATGAAACAAGCAAACGGAAAATTGACCTTGATATTTTTTGGAGAGGGGTTGTGCACGCTTCCTAAAAAGAATATTCTGCGAAGAATTTGACAAACTTTAGAATCGTAAGTTCGATGTCGGCTAGATATTCATTAGTAGTTCAGGAAGATTCATAAAGGAAATTTGTGAATAGGAATTGGGGGGGGGGGGGGGTGGGGGAGGCAATATGGCTTTGAAAAACTCAGGAAGGCCAGGAAATCGCAAGCATGCAAGGCGGAACACAAAAATTGAGTATCCTGCAGAGCACAGGAGGGAACAGCAGAGCGGATAGAAAAAGCTGGGAAGAAGCGTTCAAAAATCTGTTGGCACTTTCGTTGGTAGAGAAACCGTATAAAGCAGGAAATAGTCCTGAAACTTTGACTTTGAAACCTCTGGGTTTGTCTGAAAAGTCCGCGCCATACGTTCGGCGAGGAAAAGGTTGCCTCGGTCTAGCTTTCAAAGTCACATTCCACTTCACATAAGCAGCCAGTCCGAAGCACCGCGAAGCAGCGATTTGGACTGGTTTATATAATGTGACACGCCCAAAGGCGTGGCGCGAAATCTGGCAGAGGTGACGAGCAAAATTACGCATACGGTACATTCGAGTAGATTTCCTGCTTAATATAGTGTCCTTGCAGACGCGACAACGCTTATGCGTCAACGAGGGGTAAAGTTACAAGAAAATACACATTAAAGTGACATGACGTCCTTCCACTTAGATACTCGGGAATAAGCGAGACATAACTATTTGGGAAACAGGAAATACTCTCTAGTTTACCTTTTTTCTCCTTTATCGGCCGACTTACCCCAAAAAGTTAAGAATAAGCAAGAAAACACTAAAAAAAACAGGGGAGAACTATGAATGGCAATTTCTGACGCACAAGCGTTGTCGCGTCTGCAGGGGCACTATATTAAGCAGGAGATCTACTCGACTGTAGAAGAAACCAACCCATATCGGCACAAACTTTAGCATATCTGCTATGAACGCGATCCACCGCGATCAAGGCAAGCAAACTTTGATGACGCTTTCATTTCCAATTCGTCTTGCAGGATATCTTTCAAGAAGTTAGTGCAAAGCTAAGGCAGATACGTTCGAAACAGTACCATAGAGTACTAAGGGCCGCATGCACTAACAAGGGAAGGATAATCGGTCGAAGTGGCCATTTGGAATGAGCTGTATATTAGGAAACCGTCCTCGGTAAGGCAAACTCAAAACTACTTTCGCTAGGTGCCGAGCGGTTTTGTGAAGGGAGTTACAAAAGCCATTTTCCTCCGGCGCAGCCGGCGCTCCCTGTGATGGGCGAGACGCTAGAAGTCGCAAAAGTGTAGCGGTGGCGCAGCGGCAAGACAGCGGATTACGAAGCAGATTGTCAAGGGTTCGAGTCCTGGCTGCTATTTTGTTTTGCAGTTCTGTAGAAAGTCTATTGGGTGACAGTAAACGAAAAATACTCATTTCTAGGCAGTTGAAACAAGCTATTTACTGCAAAAAAGTCACTACTACAATAAGCTATAATCTTCTACAATATGTAAATCTGTGGAGGTTATGACGTCACAACAAGGGATTCAAATGATATATTAACATGTATGGAATACACAACAAAATGCTCGAAGAGAAGAGCTTCTCGCACCGCGCACATCGGATAAAATTTAAACGATGACAATCAGCAGCTTCACAGCCTACCAAAGTCGGTGAAAACAGTACTGAATAGGAGACTCGAATTCGCCGGGGTGATTATCAATTTATCCGGTTGATGCCATGGGTATGAAAGGAAAATTTTTGAATCGCGGCGAGCAAAACTGTGTGTAAATGAGCGATAAGATCTTAAGGATTAAATCCCTATGATGCAAGGTAAAGTTCAGATTCAGAGCCAATACATGGGATGTGAATCGATTGCAATTTTGCAAGTGCGCGCGCTGCGAGAAGCTCTTCTGCTTTGAGCATTTTGTGGTTGTATTCCATACATGTTAATATATCATTTGAATCCCTTGTTGTGACATCATAACCTCCGCAGATTTACATATTGTAGAAGATTATAGCTTATTGTAGAAATAGTGACTTTTTTGCAGTAAATAGCTTGTTTTAACTGCCTAGGAATGAGTACTTTTCGTTTACTGTCACCCAATGGACTTTTTACAGAACGGCAAAACAAAATAGCAGCAACATGACTCGAACCCTCGATCATTTGCTTCGTGGTCCCCTGTCTTGCCACTGCGCCACCGTACACTAATGCGTTGTTCTAGCGCCTCGCTCATCACTGAGTGCGCCGGCTGCTCCGGAGGAAAATGGTCTTGTAACTCCCCCCACAAAACCGCTCGGCACCCAGCGAAAGTAGTTTTGAGTTTGTCTTACCGAGGACGGTTTCCTAATATACAGCTCGTTCCAAATGGCCACTTCGACCGATCATCCTTCCCTTGTGAGATCTCCACCGGAGAGGAGATCGCAGCCTAAAGAAAACTTCATCGTGAAGCTCCAGATATCTGGATTTCACGAGCCTAGCTATACGTAAGTATTTCTACCATCCTTTACCATGAACAAACTGAACATCACACTGCGTAAACAAAGGTTTACAGGAGCTCTGGGTAGCATTCGATGCAGTTTCTTTTGCTCTTTCAAACGGTCATCTTTATAATGCAGTTGAAGCAACACGCTTTCAGAAAATTATATAAATTGCGACCAACGCTTATTACCAAGGTCAAGTCCCGCTTTTTTTTTCTAAATTCTTATACTGATTCTTCGAAGAAGTCCAATTAACCTATGGATACAGCGAATCTTATAAAACTAAAAGCAATTTCTGCCTCTTCCCAGCTTATTTTCTTTTTTTATTCAAATTAGTTTATGATGATATCAAATTCCATATTTGACCAACTCAAATCTCATATAACATCAGCCGGCAAGCAACGCGGGTCTTATTCGATGCAACACTTTTTCCTCTTTCCAAAACCTGTTTTTAATTCCTAATTTGACAAGTCTGGAGGATAAAGTCGACAAAATTCATGTTTTGAAGGCACCCCAAGCTGTACACAGCGAATTCAAAATTGGATCGAAGCCCAGAACGCTCATCTGTTCTGTAAAATAAGCGCTGAATCCTGATCCACTTTTGATCAAAAATCGAGAATTTATTGGAGTTTGACGAGTCCGCATCTGAATGGGTCTCCTAAAATTCGATGTGCTGTTTAAGCCTGTCAAAAATTTTGGAGAGATATTTGTAAAAGAAAAGAATTGTTTTTATCCTGAAGATTTGCTCTATTTATCCGTTACTTGGGCTTCTTCGGGAACTCAGTACAAAAACACGAAAAAAGCGAATGATCTAGGTAAAAACCATGGGTCGTGGTCTTCGGTGATTTTCTGAGAGCTCATTTGGTGATCATTTTGGAACTGCAATTAAAAGATCACTACATGTAAGAGCATGAAAACTGCATCGAATGTTGCCAAGATCTTCTATAATCTTTTGTTCTGCGGACTGTGGCGCTGGTTCAAAAAATCGAAACACTTTCGGACGACTTAGTAGAAGCCACCACATTTATATGGAAACCCGCTGCGTTCATCGATTTGACTGATCACGCAAACTTTGTGCCGGTGCGTTGTAGGCGGAATGGTGAGTTCTACCATGGCATTTTGGCAACGACCAAGCGGAACCACCTATGTCAATAAGTGAATTATATAACTGTGCAAGTCGTCTCTGCTCTTGGATAATTTGAGATCAATTTTGCCTCGAAAAGTTCAAATCAGCTTTGTGTAGGAAAATGTTCCACGAGGCCGTGGCTTTCTCGGTCCGCCATTGTATAGTGCCATGCTGCATACAGAGAAACTATCATTATATAATTCAAACGGGAAAAGTTGACCTTACGGAATGCACACTTTATCCACTAACAAACTACTTTACAGCAGAGCTGGCGCCGCTGATGTCAGTATCGTCCTCAGCGCCTAGCGAACGCTACCAGATAGCACCACAGCTTTCATCTCACGCTTTGAAACCAATAACTATTTACCACCAGGGTCTAGCAAGAGGTGTGGCACATAATCGCTAGACACGACCTGCCCCCCCCCCCCAATTGCTGTCTCAATAAGATCCATCGAAATATGGCATATCGAACATGACTATAAGCTACCAAACATAATAAATAACGTATTCGTGACTGGTACGTCGGATAACCCTGTGGACTAAATTTAATTTGAAGATTCAAAATACTGGAGCACCTGGGTGAAATGGTGATCTTCGAACATGATTAATTCTAAATAAGATAGATTAGCTACCTCTTGCACTCGATACGAAGCACTACTCCTTCTTTGTCCACTTGAGAAATCCCACTTTAAAAAACTTTGGAGGTAAGTTAATGGAGTATGGCCCTCCCACAAAAAAGGTGTGGATGCCACACCTATTCGGGGTTGTTCCACATCCCGTCAATTATGTCACAAAAACATTTTCAGCGAACAATATCTATATGAATCGATTATCTAAACCTCGTTTCTACAAGTGATCTGAGCCCGATTTGTCCTCTTTGCCCTGAGCGATAGTTGGTGAAAGCACAACCAAGCGAAAAATGGGACAAACGAGATTTTGGCTTGTTTCTGATTCCACAGCTTGGCCGTCTTGTGTCGATGTTTTCAAACGGGATTTCTCGAGGGCAAAGAAGGAGCAGTACTTTGTATCGAGTCCAAAAAGAGGTAGCTAATATAGCTTTGAAACAAAGTTAATTATGTTCGAAAATGACCATTTCACTCGGGTGCCCCAGTATTTAAAAACTTCAGAATTCGCTCAGACCTGGTCTACATGGGTTGATTAATATGCTGATTATGAATGAATCAATCGTTATATTCAATGGGGCCTTTAATCTGCTTTGGTAGTTATACAATGACAGGTCTATATCTCGTACCCTTGTATTTGTAATGTCCCACACCCCCAGGCTCCACGCTGTTTACCACGCATTTGGATACGCTCCCAGAAGATGCTGAGGACAACGGTCATAATCTTAAAGTTCCAAATATTGGGCATCGATTTGTAAACATTCTACTATGCTGTGTTCGAGAAACGCACTTCTTGTACACGGAATTGATATAAGATATGTGTGATAAGACTGCAGAAGCACATATGAAAATCACAACCTTCCGAACTGGAGCTGATTGTTGGTGAGGTGCTACCACTCTCATCGTCTTCGAAAGCAACTTTTCCACGGCGCGTGTAACCACTGCCACTGGCTTTCCGTCCATTAGATACCGAAGTTGTTGCAGGAGGCTTTTTGCGAGCAGCAGGGGCAGCTTTCACGGCATCACCTTTGATTCATATATACCAGTAGTAAGCTACATTTATGGCAGAAGACAACCAAATGTTGTAGGCTGGTCTTTGACGAAAGCGGACGATCTGTTTTACGGGATTCAACACTATTGAAGCTCGTGTATGGCATACACCTTCTTGATGAACGACCGCCTTGGTCTAAGACCAGCTTTCACTTGACTACTACAGCCGAGTAGATAAGGTAGATAGAGTAGGTATATATGACCTGCGATGAGGAGATCGGACGTTGGAATCTGCTCGCAAACAATACCGTCAGCTTTCGCGCGTGAAATGCCAGTATTTCAAGCGTAGCTACCCTTTTTTAACTGTAGGCGAAGGGTGAGGCTAGTGTGCTTTGCATCCCTCTCGCGAGCGTGCTCTCTAATCATTTCCTAAACTTGTTTAGCAATCTCCGCCTTCCACCCCACTCCCAGTTAAAGGCAGTGTCCGGACAAGGGGGGGGGGGGTTTCTGGATTTCAGCGCCACTCAGACAATCGACCGGACCCCTCCGCCGGACAGTCCGAATCTGCCAGAGTCGCGCCGGACCCAGTTGACCAATGAGAGAGGGGCAAATGGGCGGTCCGTCGCGGTGACATCACTGGCAGGCAAGTGGGAGGCTTTTCCGGCCCTGCTGCAAAGGTCCGCCATTTCTCCGGCGCGACTCTGCCAGATTTGGCGGACTCGCGCCGGAGAAATTTGCCCGGCGCGAGTCCGCCAGATTTGGAAGAGCCGCGCCGGAGAAAATCGGAGGGGTCCAGAGCAGAAATTGGAGGGCTCCGCCGGACAAATGGGAGACCCACCGCTGGGGAAACGCCGCGACCCTGCCATTTCCCCGGCGGAGGGGTCCTATCCGTTGCCTGAGCAAGCGAAAGTGGCCTCCCCCCCTCAGACACAACATCGCGCAAGTAGAGATTATAACGTTCGACCTAAAGCAAGAAAAACGATCTGAAAGTGGGGAAACTTATGCCTTGGGGCGGGGTTCTCCGACCTGTTTGCATTCCTGCTATGCTGCAAAGTACGCATGCCGCCACAGTCAAAATCGTAGGGTCCCGCAGCGACCTGCGTCTCGGCCTTGGCGGGGACCGTCAAATTTCAATTATAAGACTTGGGAAAACGCTTTTCTCGCCGCTTTCGCGCCTTCTAATGTGTATTTTCGGATTCAGCGTGCGGATAACTCTCGGCAAGTGAATTTTCTAAAAATCGAGTTTGATTGGACACTGTCTTCAAAAAGGAGGCGCAGTCCGTTTGAATCAGGAGTAGGCGAAACATTTCACGTGGTGCAGCTCCTCCGCATTGCTGGATGGTTTGAGCGCACAGCACTAGTATTTTGCCAGCGCAAAGACTGACGAGAATGAAGAGACGTAGACATCAGTTCTTAGCACGATATGCTTCAATATCTGCTGCATGACGAAGGCGGTTGCCCAAATAGGTTGAAGGCTGTTGCGCACGCGGCGCGCGGGCAATTGTCAACCACCGGGCGCGCGTACGCTCGGTCACCGCGCGCGCAGCTCCAGTGGATGACCGCTGACCGAGCGTGCGCGCGCCCGGTGGTTGACAATTGCCCGCGCGCCACGTGCGCGACAGCCTTCAACCTATTTGGGCAACCGCCTTCGTCATGCAGCAGATGTTATCGTAGTTGCGAAAGAGGGTTGACCGTTATGAGGCGTAGGCCCGCCAATCCAGTTTCTGCCTAAACGGGTTGTAGCTCAGTGTATTTGTCCACGTGCAAATTTTACCGCGCAGTCTCGGCAACGCAGGACAAATCTATTCGACTGTATGTCTGAACATCGTTATTATATCAATTCCAAGAGAACCTGCAGCCTGTATATGGAAGCATCAAACCCTACTATGGCGAACAAAGTAAAGATCACATAGCTCACGTTTTATTCGTCGTGCTCCTCTATCAGTATCATTGTCCTCGTCGGGTGAATCATCGCGTCTACCACGCCTAGATGACGGTTCTGAAAATTGATCATAAACTTGGTGTTACCATAGGGACTCGAAAGTATGTGCACCGTAAATCACCTGCCGTACGATGACCAAATCACTGCAACTTGGCTGCGTAAAGCATTCGCGCACCCAAATCGATAACAAAAACAAAGTTCAAAACGAATGGAGGTTTCTGTGAAAATATGACAAGACATAAGAATATAAGTATAATTGATAGTGACTTGCACTTTAACACGTTTCGGACCGGTGCTGCACACATGGTGCAGCACACTGCTTTGGAGGATCATTTTGACGTTCACAGGTTTTCTTTTAGCCCAAAGTTATCAGGTCAAAGCCTATAGCTCCTACTTTCCCAATAATTTTGTAGAGCTGTACCGCCATGTTTGTTCAAGAGATATAAGGAGAAATTGAACAACAGCTGCAAAAAAGTGCGGCAACGCGAACGAAGCTGCGACGTCGCAACTTCTTCTTGCTTCAGTTTCAAGGAGGAAAACCCTAGTCTAATATTTATGTGTATCGTGTGCAACATAGATACAGTCGCTTCATTTCATATGAGCATGTGTGCCATTGCACACAAAGTCCACTTTGGCGTCCTCATCCTGGATTTGCAATCGCAAAAACGCAAGAGACTTACCGAATGTTATCGATTACATCAATTTGTGGTGACTACTAAAAAGGAAAAATGCTAAGAACACCTTGGAAGCACTTACCTGAAGGCTTGTTACTCCCACGAATCCAGGATGGGGACGCCAAAGGTGAACTGTGTGTGCAATGACACACATGATCATATGAAATGAAGCGACTGTACTTTTGGGTACTTTTAGGAATTGAGATCTTGTCCCTGCTCTTCAGGAAAACACGAAAGTTCTTCTCAAGCGACAAAATACATTCGAATTCACTCAAAACTTTGGGTATGGAGTTTATCTGATATGCTGATTACAGATGTAGCACACAGTCCACAAAATACTAAACACTCTTTTTCGCCGCGCGCGATCGCGGTCCGAAACATGTTAAAAATGCGCACCATGACTCAAAAGGACAAGACGATGTTGTTAGATTATCATAAATCCCAGAACGAGATGATGTTGGGATGTAAATACTACACATCCTTGATATAATGGAAAGCAGTGGGGCCATACCAAGGAAATCGTCATAAATGCTCTAAAGAGGAGTTAGCATTTGTGGATACCCCTTCGAGCGCGCCAACACTAAAAGGGTATCCACAAATGTTAACTGTTAATGTTGACAAACCGCCAACACTCACACGCTGAAGCCGCGCTCGAGAAAACTTGTAAAGTGATTTGGTCATCGTCCAGCCGGCGACAGCCGCCCAGAGGATATAGCACAAGTAGTGGGATATTCAAGGTTAGAAGGGGTCAAATATTGTAGTTCCCCTTGCAAAGTTGCAGCAAATTAATTCTGACTTGTCGTTTACCCGTTGGACCTCGTCAGTGAATCCCCTTCCTCCGCTTTTGCTGTAGCTTCTAGTCGCTTTGTCGCTTCTAGTCAGCACAACACGATATGCTCTGATCCGACTGGATTTCAGATCAGGAAAATCAGTCCATCGCAGTCGCAAATAGTCCAAAACTGGACGTGGCATCGCTGGGGAATTGCATGCGTCGCATCTGCGTATGTGCTGCGTATTTATCCTGTGTGTACCATTGGGAGTGATGCTGGCTGGGCTCGCGTCCCGCGCAGCCGCTTCGCCTGGGCTCAGCATCCCCCTCGCAAACATGCTCTCTAGTCATTTTCCCACGCTCAATAAAGAATCAAAGCTTCGCCTTTCCCAAGCTCGTGGGAAAAATGAGACAGCACGCTCGCGAAGGAGGTGCAGAGCTCAGGCGAGGCGGCCACACGGGACCTGAAACCCACCCAGTACCCTCCACTCCCGATCTTACAAGGGAAGGATACTTGGTGACCGTGGCCTTTTGAAATGTAACGTATACCATTAAATGCATCTTGAAGCGCTGATTCCAAATCTGTTTTCGGTATCTGCTGTGCGGTTTTCCGAAAGAAGTTATGAACATTTCTTGCCACAAAAATTTGCACTGTTTTTGATGCAGGATTTACCAATATCGTTAGAATATTCGCTTACGCACTACAAAAAAGCGTCAAAATAAAGTAAAGCTTCACGTTAAGCTCAGAAAAACTGTCTATGATAAATCAGAGTCTAAAAAGCCTGGATGCTAACGATTCTGACTGCCTAAATCTCGTAAAATCAATATAGAAAAAAGTCCATAATTTCGTTCACAGAGTCGCACAGCAAATAATGAACATAGGTTTGGAATCAGCGTTTCAAGGCGCATCTACTGGTGTACATCTCATTGCAAAAGGCCACGGTCACCAAGTATCCTTCCCTTGTTAGGCCCGTATGCACGCACATCCCCGCGGGGAGGGGATGCGCGTCTTATCATTGAAATGGTCCCCGCTGAGGCTCCCCTCCTCACGCGAACCCCAGTAAGCACAAAGACAGTATCGGGGAAGGGATCCCCTGGTAGGGGAAGTGAACCCTTATGCACAGGGGATCGAGCGGGGAAATCACTTTGCGTCCGCTTTTCTATGGCAATTTTCCTCGTTCTCATCTTTTGACAGCTAGTCGTCTTTATTTTGTCATCGGCAATCCTTCAGTTGTTGCGGCATGCGTGTCTGCTGTGATTGTGCTTCGCGCACCAAAAAATAATAATTCTTACGCCCGTTAGATTCTGTTTCTATGGAAGTTGCTCACAGTCCTCCATGCTATTCAATCCAGCGTAAAGGTGTTCAATAGAAGTCAAGATGCCTCTGCAGTGAATGGGTAAGACGTTATGCCGCCGAAAAAAAGAGGGGATGATGCCGCAGCACTCAAATCAGAATTTCTACACATAACAGAAGCTGCAGATCGTGCCAGCTCTTCATGAGGCTGTAGCTATTAGCGACATACCATCCATTTCCTCAAGGGAATGATCCCCAGCAGCCATCCCTGCTATGCACGAGGGGAACGCTGAGGAGGAGATCACTTCCCTGGGGATCTCTACTCAGAATTAGGCAAATCCACTACTTTCTAGATTTTTTCAAGGCAGCTTATGTTAAGATAACAAGATAAAGGCAACATATCATATAATACGATAGTTACAATGTGTTTAATCAGCCTATGGTTAAAACTATTATGTCACACGGATGCGCAAATTTCTTGAATGACCCAAAGGCAGTGTCCGGGCAAAAACTCGATTTTGAGATTTTGTGCTTACCCGGGCCTATTCGCTATGCTGAATCCGAAAATCCACATTGGAGAGCGCGAAAACGACGAAAAAGGGCTCTAATATTGGAGGGTAATCAGCAAGTGGGCGGGGTCTTCCCCACGGCGAATTCACGCTCCCAGCTTCGGAGACGATCTTTTTGATTCCGGTTTCAAGTCATTCGTTTGCACTTGATCGGTAATGATGTCAGGGCGGCTAACGGTTTTGAGAAAATTGCTCTGGAAGCTGGAAGCATGAATTCATAGTGGGGAAGACCCCGCCCACTTGCTGATTTCCCTTCAGTGTTAGAGCCCTTTTTCGTCGTTTTCGCGCTCTCCAAGCTGGATTTTCGGATTCAGCATAGCGAATAGGCTCAGGTAAGCACAAAATCTCAAAATCGAGTTTTTGCCCGGACACTGCCTTCAAGAACTCCTATAAATAATCGAAATTGACAGCTATTATTGCTCGGGTTTCTTCTCGAGAGGCGAATATAGAAGAGAGAGACAAAATTGCACGCTACAGGTCGCTAAGCGAGGAACCCGGCTTAGAAAATCTCTCATCAAGTTGAACAAAATACTTGGTAGTAACTGAAAATATCAGTTTCTCTGGCACGTTCTACACCATCGAACCTCTACTCCGTTGCAGAGGACGTCGATCCCCTCCCCCGTTAAGCTACATTCGTGGATACGGGGAGGGGAAGGGATGGGATCAAGGGGCTGGATTCGCCCGATCGATAACCCTGAAAACAACTACCGAATTTGTGGCAGCAAAAGAGTACCGCAAAGAAATGGCTAGCAAACGTTGAAAAGAATCCACAGAAATTACAAAACTGGACACCCATGAATTCTTCTATGAGAGAAGTAAGCCATGACATCATTACTAGAAAACCATAACATGAAGGTAGAATCACTATTTTAAGAATCAACATAATTACTACGAAAGCACGTAACGAGTATAACAAAGCCTAAGAACCAGTAATAGGGAAAAGAAGAAGAGACCGACGACGAGGGGTGAAAGGAGAAAAAGGAGAAGACGGAGAAAAGGAACAAACGCACTCGAAATCAATATTCTTGTGCCTTTTATTCCAAAAACCATTTTAGTACACAAAATGGCTGAAAATAGGCTTTTCTGGCGAGGTCTTCTTCTTGTAGTCGTGAGCTACATGCGACTACCGCAATGACACCATCTCCACTGTAGGTACAGGGGAGGGGATCGCTCCCCTCCCCTCTGGCATAGCGGGGTTCAAAGAAGGGGATCGTTCCCCTGGGGATCCAGCTCCCTTCCCCTCTCCAGCGGGGATGCGTGCATACGGGCCTTACAGAGCAAGGGAGGTCCATTTGGTCGAAGTGGCCTTTCAACATGAGATTGATACGACTATGAAGAGCTTCGAACGCTAATCTCAAATCTGTCTTCGTTATCTGCCGAGCCTGAGTTGTGAGCGTTCTTAAACTGAGAAATCGAATGCATAATTAGAACAAAATTCGTCAGAATTGCTCAAATGGTCCAATATTGATTACCAGAGCAATCCATTTGAACAATACTTTCTGCTTAAAACACTGATTTTCAACACTATTATATTTGAGACTTGAAAAGAACCTAAATTAGGCGTTCCTTTCTTCACCAAGAGAATATTCATAACTCGGCTTGCAGAGGCGCTCTGCAGATAATAAAATCAGAATCGGAATCATCGTTTGATGCTCTTCAAAGTGGTAATAATCATTTGAAACGGTCACTTCGATTAATCGGACCTCCCTTGTCAGTGTAAATACGCCTGATGTCTTCCGCGCCCCGCCTCC